GCCGTCTAAGACATAAACAGGGAACAAATGGTAATTAACAATTCAATATAATATCTAGTTACAGATATTTAATACCAAATACATATATATATACTAATAGTCATATAACATTACCTCAAAAATCGAATATTGTTAGTGGCGGCTTACTCTGCTTACACCATGTTAATTTTCTATACTTTTATGTTGGCTATGTGACAGTTAATGACTTCATTTAGCATATTAGAACTACTCTGTCTCTTTTAAAAATTCCAAGATTTGTAGTTTTGTACTTATATCCTATATGTTCAGAAAAATCTTGACTTATTCCAAAAAACAGCAATATTCATAATATTAATACTAGATTTAAAGACAAACTTGCTGTCCCCAAGTATCGTTTAGAAAAATCAATAGGTCTTTTATGGGAATAGGTATAAAAATTTACAATAAGATACCAAAGGATATATTAGAATTACCCTTAAATAAATTCAAAACATCTGTTAAATCATATTTACTGAGCAAAGCCTATTACTCACTAAACGATTACTTAAATGACGAGCGTGCATGGCAAAAGTAATTCAATTGAGTTTCTTGCCAGTTCTTCTCAATTGGATCTATATACCGAACTGGACGGTAGGGAAAAAAAATAATAATGTAAAAACTTGACGTTCATAGGCGGCTAAATTGTCCTACATGAGTAAATGATTTTTGAATTGAATTGAATTATAGTCAAATGTTACTTTATCAGTATAACATATAATGTTACATAATAATTAAAGTCTAGTTTAATTAAGTCTATAACTCAGAATGCCTGGACAGATTTGAATGATTTATGTGTATGATTTGTGGGATTTTTCTCGGCTCTGAATAGAAGTACTAACCTAATATAAAAAAAATGGGTAAAATTCGTGGCAAGAAAGATATTTTGATATATGTAATCAATGCTCAAATGAAAATTTAAAAAATATAACAAATGCAAGCAGTCGGTCTCGAATTGATTGGTCTGAATAAGTCCAGATCCGTCAATCATCAGTTCATCCGGTTAGTACTTAAGTCGCGAAACCCGACAATCATTGTCTGTTTACGTTTATTGACAGACAATACAAAGTTCACGGGGTCAGCTGGTTTATTGACTCTTTTCTTAGAGTATTTTTGCGTATATAATCATTTAATTTGATCATTTTTTTAATACAGTTATATTATTACACCCGCCTGCGCTAACAGTTTACGCTGACGGGGCAGCAGTGGAAGATGATAAGATGATCATGAAGTCACGTCAGTTCAATGTGACATAGTACCAGGAACTTATCACGGAGGAGGTCAATCTGACATGGTACATTGCTAGCAATGGATCATTAATCCATATTACTAACAATCCTATTCCCTCCAATTCTGCTATGTTACTTCGTACAATTAAACTCAATTCCTGATTCATGAAAATGCTAAGGTCTAAAAGCAAAGGCTAAAATTATTTTTTGAACAAATGGATGGTTATGAACAGTATTACTTGATGTTCTTGTGCTGTTTATCCATATGTACTATAATTCTATGTTCTGTCTGCGGTAATGCTATGCTGTGCAATTAGTTCTTTTAGTGTAAACTCCACTCTTAAAGTCGCAAACAGTCTGAATTAGTTGGATCTAAATCAGAAAACAACCTTAATTGGGTTCCGCTGCATTCATTATCAAATAGACAATAGCCGGTATTGCATCATACTAATCGACGCCCTCGCTGTTGGCGTTCCGGCAAAATGAAAATAAAAAACTTAGGTAGTCACCTGTGCACTTTTGATTTCGTACGGATCCTAGTGCACCGGCAATCTGCTCCAAATGACTACCCGTTAGAGAGGCCACAATCGTGCGTTTCATTTCTTATTCGGGGCCGTACTTACTCAAGCGTCAGCAAGTGAAAAAAACTAGTTCATTGAATGCCGTAGAAAAGCCCCACAGCACACCTAGGATACACGAATACTGTGGATAAGGCATTTTTATTCAATTAGTATTATTTATGTTATCGGGTGTGTATGTTTTTAATGTAATCTTTACACTCTTTTCAGCTTTGAAAATAATATTTTTGTTACCCTTAGAAACGTGTTCTTTTAGTAATTGAAATGGCAAAGTAGTCCATCTGATGGTAAGTGGCAATCATCGCCTATATACATACTTATTATACTTAATCAACAATACCGATATCTCGCTATTATGTGATACTCGTTATACCACTCAAGCGTTACCACTTCGGATCCCAAAAATGGCTTGCCTCTTATTCTGTATTTTTTATTTTTATTGGGTTTACTAAACTGGATATTATATTATCTGTGTAAAGGTTCTCTGTGTCTTACAGAGAACATAACTTTACACAGATAAAATATTTAACCATTATAGCCATTTAAGTAATACATCCTACTAGAGACAGCATGCATAGCTTAATTTTTACACATCAAAAATGTACAAATTGTAATAAGTATTGGCCGTAACAGTTTACAGTATGAAATACTAGATGGCGCTGTGTCAATTCTAAAACGCGCTATAGTTTCGTTTTGATCATTACATGTATTCGTTGTAATGCAAAAATTAAATTGTCAATTAACCTTGGTACGTCTTTTATTTGTATAATACTTCTAGAGTGTTAAACATTGTGGTCCTTATCGAAGCCGGAAGTAAAGTTCAATTTTGAGTGGCTGGCAAGTTTTTGTGTTCGAGTACCGACGCAGTGGTGGATTGCCGCTTATGGTGCGTGGTGTCGCCGGTCTACGAGTGCATCGAGAGCGCCTGTCGGATATATCCGATAGGGGGCGCTGTAGCAGCCGGGAGAGAAACCACCAAGGAAAGTGAAGTTAAAGTGTGAGTGAGTGCCATAATAGTGAGAAAATAAAAAATTGTAAGTACTTTGAAATTATTAACTTAGAAAAATTTCCAATAAAAGTAGTGAAATTGGACTTAGAATAATTCGAGAAAAAGTGAACATACGGGGAATCCATGCCGGTTTTCAATCAGAGTTAATACAGTTTCAAACACTTAGAAAAATAATTGATATTTTGAACTTAGAAAATTAACGCAAAATTACTCAATCTACTGGACATAGAAGAATTTGTGCATCAGTGCTGTTATAGACTTTAAATAGTTTTAGATAAGTATAATAGTTAAATAAAAATATTGTTTTTATTTCAAAGTTTGTTTATAAATTAATAGGTGTTTCAATAGAATATTTGGGTTGTTTATTCATTGTATTGGTAAGAGTTGGTAAACTTTGTTTCTTTATTATTTCTAAAATTGTATTCTTTTATAATGGAGTCGTTAATTAATATACAGGATGATATTAAAACTAAAATTGTGAAAGCCAGAAGTAATTTTAAAAAATCACCTAAGGAACGTTTAACACAGGCTTATATCGAAACTAGGTTGGAAAATTTAGAAAGATCTTGGCTACAATTTACCAACACTCATTCAAAAATTATTAGTGACATACCTAAGTCTGAAATTGCAAAGTCTTCTTATACTCAAACTGATATGTATGAGCAAACTGAAGAGACTTATATAGATTACAAGACTGAATTAAAGGGGTTATTAACAAAATATTTAACTAGTACCGATACAGTGTTAAGTAAAGAAAAGGAAAGTCAGTCTCTCACAGTAAAATTATCTAGAATTTCCATTCCTGTATTCTCAGGACAATATTTAGAGTGGGTTAGTTTCAGAGATTTGTTTCTGTCTTTGGTACATAACAATAAGACGTTAGACGATGTACAACGTTTACATTATTTAAAAAGCCATCTCTCTGGAGAACCAGAACAATTACTACGTCACGTTCCTATCACACAGAGTAATTATAAAGTATGTTGGGATCTTATTGAGAAACGTTACAACAACAAAAGGTATCTTGCTAATTGTATTTTAAAGAGGTTCATGAGTCAAAAAAATGTAACGTCAGAGTCATCTACTGGTCTAAAAGAGCTTTTGGATACAACAAATGAGTGTATAAATGCATTAATAAATTTAGGCATTAATGTAACTTCGTGGGATATCATTGTAATTTATATAGTTAGTTTAAAATTGGATACTGAAACTAGAAAATTATGGGAAGTAAAAATTAGTGAAACTGGTGATGACTTACCTTCTCTAACACAATTTAAAAGTTTTCTTGAGAGTAGATTTAGATCGTTAGAATTTTTAGATAACAGATCTGTAAAAGTAAATTATTCTAATCGCACTCAATATAATACAAAATCACTTCATGTAACTACAGTATTTTCATGTGCTTATTGTAATGAAAACCATAAGATATACAAATGTAAAAAATTTGCAAAAGCAAACATAGACACGCGGCGTAATTTTGCTCAAACCAACAGTTTATGTTATAATTGTCTAGGTTCTAAGCATTCGGTTTACTCATGCCAACAAACCACTCGTTGTAAAATATGTAAGAAAAGACATCATTCATTACTACATCCTAGAAGTATAGTACAATCAGCCGATAATGAAGTAGGTAGTGATCAATCGGCTAATAGTGATGTCGTCGTACCAACGACATCAGCAACACAAGACGAAGCTAGAAATGTCGTAGCATGTTTTTCTAGGGTTGACACCCAAGTGTTATTGGCCACCGCTTTAGTTAAAATTGTTTCAAAGACTGGAAAGAATATCACCCTCAGGTCGTTGTTAGACCAAGGTTCGCAGGCTTCATTTATTACTGAAGCAGCAGTTCAGCTTCTTGGGTTAAAGAAATATTCAAGCAGAAGTCAAATATCAGGGCTAGGAAGTGATCAGGCTGGTTCTTTGACCTCTAAGTCTGTAGTGTTTTTAAAAATTCAATCACTCCATGACCCCAACTTTGTTGTTGATGTAAAGGCTCATGTTTTAAAGAAGCTAACTACTTTTCTTCCAGAACGAAAGGTTGTCTTACCAGTATTAACAGAACTGTCTAAATCAGATTTAGCAGATCCTACGTACACCACACCCAACAAGATTGACTTGTTATTGGGTGCTAAAGTTTATGGAATGATCTTGGAAGAGGGTCTTATTAGGAGATCATCTCAATCATTAGTTGCTCAAAAAACCAAGTTAGGTTGGATATTGTCAGGAGAGATAGAATCTTCTGGTAACAATGAGAAAGAGTGTTGTTACTCAATTGTTAGTTTGCATTCTCATTGTAATGAAAACGAACTCCTACGTAAATTTTGGGAGTTAGAATCAGACAATTCCAATCTGAATCGTAAACATCTCACGCCTGAAGAGCAGAGATGTGAGGAACTGTTCGTCGCCACTACCAAACGAGATTCATTCGGTAGGTATGTTGTCAAATTACCATTTCGTGATCAAAATCCAACTTGTATGTATGGTAATTCTCGAGATATAGCAGCTCGTAGGTTTTATTTGTTAGAAAAGAGATTATTAAAAAATCCTAAGTTAAAGATGGATTATTCAAATGTCATAAAGGACTATTTAGATTTGGGTCATATGGAGCTGGTACCTGATGATGAACGTGATAACAAAAACGCTGTTTATTTGCCACATCATCCCGTCATCAGAGAAGATAAAAGTACTACTCAAACACGCGTTGTGTTTGATGCTTCGTGCAAAGATTGCAACGGTGTATCCTTGAACGATGATCTAATGGTTGGTCCGACTCTTCAGTCCGATCTGAGACATCTTATCATGCGCTGGCGATTGTATCCTATATGTCTAGTGGCAGACATAACTAAAATGTATAGACAGGTGAAGGTTTTTCCTGAAGATACAAACTTTCAGCGTATCTTGTGGCGTAATCCAGATAATCAAAAGGATGACTTACAACATTATAGGTTACTCACAGTTACTTTTGGGACTGCTGCTGCACCTCATCTAGCGGTAAAGACCTTACAGCAGGTTGCTATTGATGAGGGTAATAAATATCCACACGTTTCTGAAAGAGTCCTCAGGGATTTTTATATGGATGACTTGTTGACCGGTTGTCAGAACGTTGAAGAAGGTCAAAGGGTCTATAAAGAAATGAAGATGTTACTAGGCTCAGCAGGATTCCAACTCAGGAAATGGTGTAGCAGTAGTGAACGTTTGCTAGAGAAAATAAAGGAAGGAAACGAGGATAAATTAAGTAATCTAGAACTAAAAATAGATTCAGTAATGAAGATACTTGGACTTACATGGAATCGACGCTCTGATGTCTTCGAATACTCCGTTCAGTTGCCGCCACTGAGCGAACCTGTCACTAAAAGAAAGGTTATATCGGATGTTGCACGATTGTTTGATCCTCTTGGCTGGATCGCACCCACCATTATAACTGCTAAAGTATTCATACAGAAGCTTTGGCTTTCTGGAATCGATTGGGATGAAGAACTTCCATCTCAGTTATTAAAAGAGTGGATTATATACAGAAACGAATTATGTTTACTTACCAATTTACAAATTCCTAGATGGATTAACTCGAGGGCCGATGACAAGTTAGTTGAATTACATGGTTTTAGTGACGCGTCGAATGTGGCATACGCTGCTGTAGTTTATGCACGTATAGTTAGTAGAAATGGTGTAATACATGTAAATTTACTTACCTCTAAAACCAAAGTTGCTCCTGTTAAACAGATATCCATTCCCAAACTCGAACTGTGTGGCGCCGTCTTGCTCGCGAAACTGCTCCTGGAAGTGTCAACGGTTCTTACTGTACCTAAAGAAAATATTCATGCTTGGACCGATTCAACGGTTGTACTCGCTTGGCTAAGAAGTCATCCGAGTAGGTGGAAGACTTTCATTGCTAACCGGGTTTCAGAAATACTAACGGTTCTTGATAGTAACCAGTGGTCACATGTCCAATCAAAGGACAACCCTGCGGATTGTGCCTCCAGAGGAGTCAAGCCTCAGGATTATCAAAATGATTTGTGGAGCACAGGACCACTTTGGCTGAAATCAGAAAATATTATTTATAAAAACAAAGAGGTAAATGATACAAACTTAGAAGAGAAAACAAACAAGGTATGTTATGCAACTACAACCGAGGAATTTAGTCTATGGAATAAATACTCATCATTGCGCAAACTTGTCAGAGTTGTTGCTCTATGTAGACGATTTCTTCTTTCACGAACTGCTCTCCAACCTGAAAAGAAAAACAAATATGTTAGTAATGAAGAATATACTGAAGCTTTGAATGTATGTATCCGACAACATCAATCTATATATTTTCAAGAAGATCTGTATAATTTAGAAAAATCTGGAAAACTTAATAATAAAAGCAAACTTACCTCTCTCAGTCCATTTGTTGATGATGTTGGTGTCTTGCGAGTTGGTGGACGATTACAGTATTCTCAAATGTCTGAAGAAATGAAACATCCTATCCTCATTGCTAAGAAATCTCATTTTACTCATTTATTAATTGCTGAGGCTCATTCCAGAACTGTTCATGGTGGACCTCAGCTCATGATAAATTACTTGCGAACCAAGTATTGGATTATAGACGTTAAAAATATGGTTAAATTGTACGTTCGTAAATGTGTTGTCTGTATTCGTCATGGATCTATTGTAAAACATCAGCTAATGGGTCAACTTCCTTCGGTAAGAGTTACAGCTTGCCGACCTTTTTTTCGTAGCGGTGTAGACTTTGCCGGTCCTATCAGCATTCGTACTAGTAAGGGTAGAGGTCATCACTCCTATAAAGGTTATATATGTCTTTTCATCTGCATGGCTACTAAAGCTGTTCACCTGGAGGCAGTGAGTGACTTAACCACTCAGGGTTTCTTGGCAGCTTTTAAGCGCTTTGTAGCAAGGCGAGGACATTGTGCCGATATATGGAGTGATAACGGTACGAATTTTATAGGTGCTGCTAGAGAACTTAAATCACTTTTTTCTACAGAAAGGTCTGCTATAGCGACAGAAATCGCAAATTCACTTGCTTGCAATGGCACTAAGTGGCATTTTATCCCTCCCCGCGCTCCAAACTTTGGTGGACTCTGGGAAGCAGGGATAAAGTCCACAAAATACCATCTTCAGCGCGTAATTGGAAACTCCACACTTACATATGAGGAAATGGCAACAGTCCTGACCCAAGTGGAAGCTTGTTTAAATTCCCGGCCACTCTCTCAGATTAGTAACAACCCTGGTGAACCATATGCACTTACCCCAGGGCATTTTTTGGTGGGAGAGCCCTTAGTTGTAGCTCCTGATTCAAATTATGAAGCTTGCAACCTTAGTAATCTCAAACGTTGGCAACTAACACAAAGGATGTTGCAGCATTTCTGGCGACGTTGGTCGCAAGATTACATTACTCAATTCTTTCATCGTCGTAAATGGAAACATCTCATTCAAGAACCAAATATTGGTGATGTAGTGTTGGTAAGGGAGGACGATTTACCACCTGCTAAATGGTTGTTTGGTTTAATAATTGATAAACATGAAGGTTTGGACAAGATTACACGCGTTGTTAGTCTTAAATGTAAGGGTAATATTATTAAAAGACCATTATCTAAGATATGTTTACTGCCTGTAACAGAATAAGTTGATTTGCAATGGCAGTCTATTTTCTAAGTAAATCTGTCAATTTGTCAGAATTTGTTATTGTTTAATTAAGCTTAAAGTAATTTTGTTAAGTATGTTAATTTCTACTCATGTTTTGTAATAGTTTTATAGCATTTTTGTTTGTCTATTCGCTCACCTTTAATATTGTTTATTTTGTATGTTAATTTTATTTTTTTGTAGTGATGAACAACTAAAGTACTGTAGTTGTCCATGGTGGGCGGTATGTACAAATTGTAATAAGTATTGGCCGTAACAGTTTACAGTATGAAATACTAGATGGCGCTGTGTCAATTCTAAAACGCGCTATAGTTTCGTTTTGATCATTACATGTATTCGTTGTAATGCAAAAATTAAATTGTCAATTAACCTTGGTACGTCTTTTATTTGTATAATACTTCTAGAGTGTTAAACAAAAAATAAAACTAAACAGTAATTTTATTCCAAGAGTATTCTTACAAAGCAAGCTGCGGCGGATAGAATAGGAATAGGTAAAATGTTATCGATATCTTTGAATAACAATCATTCATATCCATTATCGTGTTTGACCACGTTGATGTCTCATTTATCAATTACGTGGGAGAGTAGGCAGAATAGGATGTTGTGGAGATGTACGCGCGGTGCGGACTCGCGTGGTTGTTGACACGTCGCCGTCGGCCCGTTAAACGTATCGCCATTCGTTTCGCCTCCGGTCGGTGTCGACCGGAGGCGCTCGCTCCACTCAGCGTTTTTTGACAGCCGTGAATCATGACGCGCTATCGATTGTGATGGGAGCGAGGCGCCTCGACGCAAACGTGCCATTTAGGTACTTGGCCCGTGAATTAGAACTATACGTTGATATCGAAATCGTTAAATTTCAGCTATTTTGTTACGATTATACTTTATATTTTTATTCCCATACTCATTTCCGAAATATATTAATATTAACGTATATTTATTGTATTGTATTATAAAGTAGCAAAAAATTTCGTCGACCGGTGCCGGTCAATATTGTAAAGATGTTTAGAATTTTTGTCGTAGTTTGTAATGCGAGGCAATATTTATCTGTTTACATCAGGATATTTAATTTAAATTTCATGGGGAATGAAGTCGTGGTAACGAGAGCTAGTACCTATTCATATAATTTCATGCCGTTTGACCTTTGGAGGTGTTCGGTTGGGCACCTGTTATCGGGGCAGCAGTAATATGTCGTGTTGGTGTTTGCGGGCATTGAGGATGGGTGCGGGCGGGAACGCGTCGTGTTGCGGTACAGTGAGAGTGGCATGGTAGCGGCACCGGCCGCGGTCGATGAGCCCGCCGCCGCCGCAGAGGGCAGCACGGAGCTGTCGGGCGGGCGGGGCGGGGTGGGCTGCCTCGTCTCCCCGCGCCCCTTTCACCCACCCGTCTGCTCGCGCACTATGTAGAACCGCGCCGCGCGCTCACTAATGCGTCATACCGCCATCGAAATTGACGTGCATGCTGTCGCTCCTACTCGTCATTTCGCGCGCGCCATGTGAACTTCGGTGTTGACTTATATACGGGCTGAGATTAGTTCGATCGATCGATACGCATATTCGCAACTCAGTTTGGACACTAGTAACCATGAACAGTGACTTTGGTGCCCGTAGCAGTTCCCGTGACACTGGAGTGGTGCACGAGGTGGGCGCACGTGCACGCACTTTGATTCCGAATCTGAGTAAGTTTTGAGTTGGTTTATTTTAAAGTGTGAGTCGGGCGGTGACGTCGGCTGGTCAGTGGTGGTCGGCGAGGATGGTGCGGTGTTATTTCGGCCGGAATGCGGCCTCCGCCCCGCCGCGCATCGCCGGCGCCGAGCGCGCCGCGCGTAGCGTAATAAATAAAGGCGGGGCGCGGCTGCGTGCGCGCGCACCCTCCCGCGCCCTCCTGCCCTCGGGTCATTGACTCGCGCCCGACCGCCGCCGCCGACGCCGCCGAAGACAACAATTCTCAGAAGCGGCCCGCGCTCTTGGCCCCAGAGTGCTTCTTGTGGCCCTCGCCGAGACCAATGTCAATGCCGATGGTTTGGTTAAACGGCGGCGGAAATGCTCACCGCACAGCGTTCCTGTAGCATCCCATGACTGCAACGTCGTTTAGTTACTTGTCGCAGCATTCCGGCCATTGACCCCTACGTCCACACCTGGCCTCCTGACAACACCACCCTTCGTCAATAGCACGACTATAGAAGGCAAGAATAGTGTAGACCCGGTCTTTATTTTTGCGAGACCGGTTTTATAAATAGCCCAACCAACGTTTTTATTTCCTGTCGACAGAGCGATGCCGTTTGCCTGTGCGCCTCACGATAGCGGCATTTTTAGATTTTTTGTTATCCAGTTTAGTGGGTGCAGTTTTATTTTCCTCGACGTAGCTATACATCGCTCTTGATCTAATAACTTAGTTTTTTTATCTTATCGTTCGCCTATAACTCAACTGGACTTGTCTGAGAGCTGTTTGACGTTGGTATACGCCGTTTTTTATAATGAAGTCTCTGTAGCATTATATATTGTGTTTGTGTTATCATTGACTTGGTTATGATCCTCGTGTGGAACGGGTGAAATTGAAACGAAATGATCGACATTAACAAAACGAGCAACCCACACTAAACCGATTGTTTTACAAGATTACCCGGCAAACGCCGTTATATTATCAGCATTGCTCGTTTCGTGGAACGCTAAAAATAAAGCGTGAACTTCCCGGTTGAATGGCGTCGTCGGTGCGGCAGAGCGCGGGGAGTGGTAGGCAGCCATTGCCCTCACCCGGTTTGTTTACAACATGGGCTTGGTGAACAGACCGATCCTACATGCACCCTGTTAGAGATATATTAGGGTGCACAATCGCTCCCCCATACGGCATACGAGCGACCCCTGCGCTCGCGCCATCTGCGCGCGCACGATTAAAATAAACTGCCACCGACAGATAGCTAGCACAAAAACGAGCTTCGAGTCGGTCGCCAGGTGCAGTGCGACCATCCACAGCGGCGAAGGTGCGCCTAGTCTTAGGTCAGTTACTGCCACGAGATGGCGTAGGCCGAAGACCCCGCGGCTGCGTGCCAATGACCAGCTCGCCTCGCCGGGCCTCTCTCTCGCTCAAATCCACGTGTTCTTCATGTCAGCATACAAACTAGACATTGCAATGTTTTTTGAGCCTTCCATGAGAGTAAAATTGATTTTAAGTAATTGACTCTGAATTTCTATTGCATCTATTGAATTCCTACTGGAATGACTATCATAGACCTTTTCCACCCTGATCCATAAAGTACATTAATGGGACGGCACATATTGTTCCTTCCTTATGCACCATTATTGTTAGTCATTCCAATAAAATAGAAAGACTAGATTATTAATTAACCACTTTATAAGCAAACACTGGAGACTACCAACTGTTAAACTCTTAAAATTAAAAATAAACTTATATTAAAATACAATGAGTGCTTTAAAATAGCCATCGGCGTTGTGATTATAGTACATTTTGTATTAAATTTTCAATATAACAATATCCTCGGAGCTATAAAATATTTGAAGTAATGCGTATTATGAGAAAAACCACAAGAAGTTTTATAAATTGTTCTACAAATTAATTGTTATAATGTCATAACAAATTACGTGATTATCCATTGTGTGCGTATTTTCTCGCACACTGGATTTCAACAACTGAAGTGGGATTGCTTGGGCTTGCTATCCAAGCATCCTATATGCACAAATAATACAAAATTACTTTTTCATAAATAAATGTTATATTAGTCACGATTATTGTTGTTAATAGTGAAAAACAAGTAATAAATGTGGTCAAATATATTTGTTGCGAGCATGATTAGTTGTGCGAGCGGAGGCCGCGTGCGAAGTGGACTGCAACGAATCCATTGCCGACGCGGACACACGAATGGCACACGCAATCCTCGGTATGCGAAGAAAGCTCATCTCTCTTGCATCTATTGGAAGAAACATACATAAATCTACTATTAACTCGATAACCTCCTTTATAATTTTTGCTACTCAGAACGCACATATTTTTACCGTATATGAAATTTACATTTTGAAATAAAGACATTTGTAATTCCTCAATTTGCTATCATATGTGAAATGGCCGTCTCCATGAAATCGTTTAACATTTAACCAGACATCGTAGTCCATATATCCTACAATGAAGGAAGTACTTTAAACTAGTACCTCAGTAATGTGTTAACTTTTATATTAAACCAAAGATTATAAGATTATAGATTAATTGTAAAATAACTCACACATTGGTATCCTGGGTGTATATTTGTAGCTGTTGTAACCAAGAAGCTTGAGAATTGTAACTGTAAAAAACTCTATTAGCGAGTAGTTAAAGAAATTCACGAAAGATGACAAAGAATAATGATACTTGTGTGTTGCGTTACACACGAATAGTGTATAATGTAAACGAAGATGTGAATTTAATGTAGTTATCTCGTGATGGCGTTCAATCGTATCAATTGAACGCTGTAGTACATGTTGCACACGGCTGCGCACCATCTCATCTCACTGCAACGTTGTATTGTATGTCGCGCATTGCGTTTGGAAAGCTATTATTCCAAGCCATGCTCGATCGGTTGCTACATCGTTGAAGTCCCCACCCTCTTCATCTCATCCAGAGAATTGCAAATGTGGAATTTGTTCCTGGCACTTGCCACGCGTCTTTTCTGCGCTTATTGTATATTAGCGTTAGCAATCGTAGCGGTTGAGAAGTATAGATAGATATATAAACGGTTTAGTCCATAATTGTTTTGAAGAAATATATTATAGTCTGCATTCCTTCCTCTTGTGAAGTATTACATCCATTTCTTTAACAGTTGATACGATACGTTTATTGCGTGGACTGATTAGATTTTCACTTTCCAAGCTGCTCTGTGCACGGTATTTTAGTTCTGTCTAACAATATCCCAAATGTTTTCTAAATGTGCCATAACAAAAGCTGCGGACTTAGTAAACAGACTAGACGGGTACTAATTACGACGATTACAAATTAATATCAGTACTTTGTCCAATGAAATTAATGCCATGAAGGATTTTGCAGTTTATTTGTAAACTGTCTGGAATGCGAAATCGTCAGTTTTAGGCGAGTTTACAGTAATTGTTCTATTATAGGTAGATAAACACGGAAAGCATAAATAATACTAGCATTTATGTGCTCAGGCCGTTATATAATATAATCAATATGAGCGGATATTATAATTCTTATTAAACTTGGTTCGTCGCTGCCACAGTTGGTAACTTGAAATGCTAAGATACGTGACTTGGAATCGTATTATAGAATTTGAATCGACTTTGCATGCCCTGGTCGAGCGATGGATCATTGTCGCATCTAATTTACAGCCTTTTAGGATACGAACGACTTATTTAATATTCAAGATCTTTTGGAATACTTTAACAGAAACGGCACTATGATTGCAGTATTGCTCAGGCATAGTTGTAATAATTATCAATTGGTTATAAAAAAACAGTTGCATAAATCGCATGCTATCGTAGTCCATTATTAGTGTCGTAGTCCATTTAATAATGCTATAACTTAGCATTTGAAGGATACGTGTTCGTAGGTAGTTAGCTAATTAGTTATGCGACGGAATGTCTGTTAGTGTAAATGTTGGCCTCTGATTTGGCTGCAAGTTGCTAAAAACTGGTTTCGGTCTTGTAATGACGTCCACGCGACATTCCGTTATACTAAGTAGAGCGTCGCTGCGTGCATTCCATATTAACGTTATTTATGTATGACAGTAAGTAATATTCACATTTTCATACATTCTGTTACGGTTCTTTCGACCTTTACACCACAACTTATGCTTAATCAGTAGAAATGAATAAATTCCTTATAAACTTTAAGTAAATATTTCACAAAATGCATGCGTTTAATTGATGAATTTACATAGCATCGTGTAATATAATACGCTATGACTTCCTAATGAACTAATTCTGTCAATTGTGGTGAATATGTCGAGGCCGTGTTTAACGTCCGCATTACTAATTAGACAATTGCGAATTACTTGGATATCACAATTAGACATTCGCATTCAAAAGCAATATTTAAGTTTAAAATATAAATATAAACAATTAGTATAAGTATGAAATAATCCAAACGCACTTTACGCAATACTGGAACAACTCAACAAATACTGGGTTCAATACGTTAAAGCCTCTTAACTAAAAGGGATTTGTGATCGCGGGAATGTTGGGGCGAAGCGTCTATTCGTAGCCAATGCGCAGGTAGTCGACCGTTGGTATTCAACAAGTTGCCCTGAGACACAAAAACTTTAGTCAAGATTGCGCATTCTTCACCATTTATGCATGTCTATTGTTAGACTGCATTCTGAATTCCGTTATCGGTAAATATTTAAAACAAAGTTTTACAGTCAAATTACTCTTGCATTTTGTTCTTACGTTTTTTCTTAATGCGGCATAATAATGATCTTATTCAGGTTGCGTTGCAGCTATTTCTCTGCCCGTTTGTTTGAATGGAAACCAAGTTTGTTCAAGAACAACTCTCCTTACAATTATTTTAGCATTCTGTTTAATTGTGTATAATTCGTATTTTTAACCAGGTTTTTAAAATTAAATATTTTTTTGTTTCAGAAATGGAGACAGAAATTAAGAAAAAATGACGTATCGAGGTTTCAGTATGCCTGACTGCGGGAAAAATGGCTTAAACATCAAGCTTCCAGGTGAGGATTTTAATATGATAAATAATTTTATAAACTTAAAAAACATAAACAAGAATTGCATATACTTTAATTTAAAAGATATTATTTTAACGTCTTATATCTATTTTTAACATTAATGCTACTGTCCACTACTAAAATCATAAAGTACGGCTCGTAGATTCGTATTAAAAGTATTCAATATCGTGAACAATCTCTTAGTTACGTCTATTTTTTAGACCTGTTCAGCCGTCTTGTTGTAACAATGTGTCAAACAGATTTTGCTTCATTTCTTTGTTCTTTAGGGACTATCGTAAAAATTAAAATTACATGCCAGTACTTTTGTACTCTAAAACTAAATTTCACTTTACCAGTGAGAAAATTAGAGGCTCAGGCGCACTATCCAAAGGATCGGCTAAAATACTTTGTATGTCAACTTCCAGTATATGCTCTGTCGCATTTTTAGAATAGATTAAAATTGTAATTTATTCATAATTTAAGAGCTGCGCTCTTATCGGTGGAGCTTTTGACATTTTCCATCAATCTTTTTAGTTGTTAATAATACGACACGACTCCAACTTTTTCCTTAACCTGCTTGATATAACTGTGTAAAATTGTAAGGAACAATTAAATAGATTTAACTGTTGCTGTTTTACTGTTCTTTGTATATATTTATTCGTTAAGATAACGTACGAGTGTAACGTTCCGTGAGTGCGTTATGCGATACGGTTGTCATAACATCATAGTTATCGCGCGGTGACGTTAACGGCTTGTTTGTAGTAACGATTGTTTTCGTACGGGCCAATCCCTATCGCCCGATATGTTTATATAGATCGATTACTGGGGCTGTACGGGGCTCCTACTGCTGCTTTTCTTCTCATATGATGATCATGTTAAGAATTTGTCGGTATTTTGGCTGTTCATATAACAGCGTTGAGAATGCGTAGAGGAAGTGACGAGGAACACGGTTAAGGATCTTGTAGATTATCTCTAAAGTTTATGAAGTTGGTAGTAATTCTTTATAGCACTTTTAAGGACAAGTTTTCAAAATTTCAAATAACCGTTTGGAGATTTTGTTGCAAGTGAGCACTTAACTCAAAAAGAGATCTCTTCTAGGCAACCCAAAACAGCGTGACACATAAAGTGGTGTGTGGGTCACAAAATGTATGGAATTTCAGAGAAAATATTTTAAAAGACTGAATATTAAAATTTTTAGAAACAGACCTAAATGAGATTATACTGATGACATTAAAGATATTTCTTTAATGGACCGAATAAATTTATTAAATTTTTGCATACAAATAATACCTTACCGAATGCAAATATTCCATTTTGTTTAAATTTACCTTCGTTATGCTGTTTCAGTTACAGTGTTCTTTAGACGCTGTAATAGGTGAATACACTACACTGTCTTAATACCTAAAATTTATTTATATGCAGTTAAGAAACGTTATTTTTTAATAATGAAATAGTAATTAAGATGGAACAGCGACCAACGTTGACAAACTAGTCATGAATAAATAGCTTTAAATACATGAGCCTATTGATAGTTACAACTAAATGTGTAGTACAATGAATGAAGTCGACAGCGATAAGGATCCGTTGTAATGTCAAAGTCACAAACGCATACGTGTTGAAGTAGTGCAAGGCAAACAAACATACGTATTCGATACGACACGTTATTGGAGTATTCATAAATTTACTTTTATATAGCCATATGACATTGTTTGTGACAGCGCTATCAAATTGGAATTTAAAAATGAATCTGTATTATAGTGAACATGTACAACCTTGTTTGAAAATAATATGAGTTGAGTTTCGTGTCAGTTCATCTCAGTAGATTTGACATATCAAGAGTCTATAATCTACACGAATAAAGATATAATTTTATTTAAACACACTGTTCTAATAGGTCATTCCTAGTTGTATTATACTCTATATAATAATATTTTTGAATTTATTTTTAACTAACAATATAATTATGAATAAAAAATGCTACTCATGTATTATATCATTCGCGCATATATTTTAAAAAGGTGAAGGAAATATTCTTCCGATACTTCCTTGTGAGAGCAAATTATTTTAATGACTATGTTGTTTATTCAATGTACGGTTTAGTTACGAAGCTTGTTATTAAAGTTAAAGTGCTTGTCTTTTTATACAAGCAAGGAAAGTCGAGACTGTCGTATCTGTATTTACATAATCAGCACCTCATTGCACATTGGAGATTATTATAGTGACAGCTTACGTAGTACATTTTATATGTTGTGTGTTTACTGACTGTAGTTGTTATGTTCCTCGTGTCAGTGATTGCACTTAGCCTGTAAACAAATATACAATGTTTAACGGTAGCAATAGATAACCCTCGTAGATACCTAACTTACACAAACATACAAATTATATATAATTAACCCTTAACATTTAATAATAACGATAACAAACCAGACGATTTATTATTAAGATGTAAATCATAATCTTTTTCCTAAACAAACACTTTGTAAAATCTAATTATCTAAATAAAAACCTAACTAATCCAAAGATAAGATAAAAACAGTGTAGAATATTAGTTTGCGTAACTTTAACATCGCACGCAAATCGCAAAATGTTTTGCCACATTTTTCATTGTTGCCCCGATCCTACAGGTGGTGATATTAAATAGCCTATAGCAGTCGGGTATAATAAACCTATGTAACAATGAAAACATATTTAAAATCGGCTCAGCAGATTACCCCTAACAAACTAACATACAAACTTTACCACTTTATATTATTAATATAGATATCTCATTTGTCTGTGACTATCTCGGTGTAAAATATTATTTTTTATGATATTTTTATAAAATATCATTTTACATTATACCAGATATAATAATATATAAGAGTACCATCAACTACTCTTTCCAACAGTGAACGGTAAAATATTATTCAAATAAATGTAGTATTTCGGAATCTTACCCTTTCCATTTTGTTAATTGTATATAAAACATTATCCTCAAGGATTAAAAATTATGATATATATGAGATACTATAGGGTAAATACTAGGCTTGCGTTGTAGTTATATATTTTAGTGTTTTGTTATATGATAATTCTGTTATCTTGATTAGTAAATATTTAAATAGGTGTGAATATATACATCGCATAGAAAATATAGTATAATTATAACATTTACAACTTCTTGGTTATAAATTCTCAAAAGTGTGAGACCAGTAGATTACTATCAATGTAAATTAGCCAGCATAATCTGTTGCACTGAGTGCACAGATCAGCCGGTTACAAACTTGAATGGTGTTATAAAAGTTGGCGAAAAAACATGTGTCGTTGAACCCGATGAGGTGATGCACTACAGTGGGCCGTTAGCTTTAACCGAGGTCAGGTAAGTTATTGTTAAAGAATACTTGCGCCTGCCTGGAATTATGCGAAACGACTCAGCTGACTGTTTTACACCCTCCATTTTATTACCAAGCGGAAATTGCAAGAATTCGTGTTCACGTCATTACTTTATTAGTATTTTTTTGGGTTGAATTTAAAATATATAATTTTGTAATTTGTGATCAAGGGTTGTGTTTTATTCAATTCTGCATTGACTAGTTACGTAGTGACTGCATTGTTATCGAAATCGGTAGGGTTGCAACCCCCGCATGTGATTGTTGCCCGGTGTTGATTGCAGTTAATGATTTTTAATGAATCAAATATGTTCTTTATATACATATTCATTATTTTTATAACTAGCTGTCTCCCGCGGCATTGACTGCGTGTAAGTATTTTCTTTTAATTCGTACTATTTAGGAAATAGATTAGACATAAATAATATTTTATATGAAGTATCCGTTAGCTTATACGGATGCACTTGGTGTTATGTAATTATCCCATAGGAGTCCGTTACATATTTAGAATTGCACTGTTTCGAAATGCTATATTCTACCAGCTATGTGTCATTATGTAATTGGAATGTAATTGGAAACATTTGTATAATACTTGGTAGTGTAACCTGATAGTTTCTAATGCATTGTGTTGAGATATATCTTAGTTACATTTTATATTTTTACTTTTCGTATAATTCGATTATACTTGGTTATTGTAAAAAAATATTAAGCTTTCTTAAAGGTCGGCAACGAGCAAGGGATACCCCTGGTGTCCATAGGCTACGCTAACCGTTTAGACCAGACGGCCCATATTCTTATTTGCTACCTACGTTGTATAAGAAAATATTGTGTAGAGTTGGAATCTCTATAATACAGTAAATGCGATAATATATACACGTCGAATATTAGAAAATTTTAAAATATTATATTATTCTGAGAATATGTTGTAAATCTGTGACGATATGGCGAACGATACAAAGTATAAACTCAAACTACCCTTATTTAAATCGCTCAATTTGTGAAAATACATACATGTTCAATACCACACATGGCTGGTGTTGAACTTAAACATTTGAAATATTGGCCAGTTCTATCACTATCATTTCTGATTTCAGAATACAAGTAACCTCGCGTATTATAACGTCGTGACCATTTAATTTTCTGACCAACTATTAGAAAACGTTGGAACAAACATTATTAGGATAAAACGTAACGTACTAGCTTATTCATAAGCATAATCAAGTATACAGAAATTTTACTTAAGAACCAGATTAATGTTTGAGTAAATAATACGTCTAACATTATTGCAGTACATATGTTTACATTATAAAGCTTGTTTCGAATTTATTAACGAAGTATTTTAACCGTAATGATAATAACATGCTACTGAGAAAATTGCGTTATTTGGGAGTATTCCGGATATCGAAATTATGTTGTATTGATGAATATAAGGTAATTGGCATTAATAATCCGTATATTGTTTGGTTACAAAAATATGTTTCATTTCTAAATTATGGCTAGTGGTACCAAATTCACGTGCTGAACTACGCAACAAGACTCATACAAGCGGCGAAATTGCAAAATGGTTTCTATGAAGGGAGCGTGTAAGACCTAAATTCGTTTTACCCCAGTCGAAGGGGGGCGGGTATTTCACAAGCGCCACGAGTGGTAAGCGTGGCTACCACGCATGCGCTATACAATCGATTTCTAAATAAGTACAACAGGCTTTTCCGATATTCGCGAAAGATATCACGAAGTTTTAACTTTATTACTATTAGGAGACCGCCTTTACGATCCTTGCTTCATTAGCGGAATCTGATGGCGTTCTGACGTGATACATATCTGACAACAGTACTGCTTAACACATATTCATTTGTTTTTATTAGGTACTCTAATAGATTAATTCTCCATTTGGCTGTTAGTTGAAATGATAGCAATATAAACGTACAAATTTTACTGTACGTCAAGAAAACTTTAATTTACGACAGAAAATAGATGTTTAACACTGATATTGTGTTGATATCTGCATGGTTCAAGCGTGTTGATAGTCATTATAAGTGACAATCCTAGGCATACATACATATATAGTCTACTATTAACAGCATAGTCTAAAAAGTAGGTAATGAACACAGTATTTGGACGATAAATGTCATCTTCAAAGAGGTTTTCCATCGGACTGTATTTTGTGCTGCAACTTAATGATTTTGTCTTGAATCTAATCAAATCAAATAAAAATATCATTACTAAGGTAGATCTAATACAGACTTATGATATGTCAAATCTACCATCATTTCGGAATGATTCGGAATGAACAAGATAAAGAACATCATTGATGTCTATGATTCATTAAATTATTTTGAAACCTACAGTATATACCACAGAAATTCTCTATTATAACAGAAACAACTGTATTTGTAAATTGTTTAAATTTATGCAGTTGCAAATTTGAGCTAGTTGATATAAATAGCGTATATTAGGCATTCGTATAAACAGCTTATAGTTTTGAACACTAACTAACTAACTAACTAACAACATGCACTCTGTTATTTTAATGCAAACCGGTCATTTGTTGTGGAACAATAAGCACGCTGTGTTATTATTTTACTGCCGCCTATTGAAATTAGAATTTAGGGTAATATATGTTTGCTTTTACATTTAAATTCTCTCACTCCCTCTGTTGAAACAAGTTTTGTAATCAGTTGTTTAATATTTTAGGAATTACGATGATGATTATTATTTACACGTATAATTAGTAAAGATCACGGAATCTTGCATTGAAACAACGGTTCAACATTGCCAAAATATCGGGAACTCACTAAAAACAAAACGTAGTAAGATCCCGTAATTTTACTAATTATATGTACGTATAATAATGATTAATGAATTGATATTTTCACCAAGAGAAATTGTAAAAATGTGTGTATATTATTACTTATTCATTAATTCAATTCTAACATTCGGAAGTCTTACTTCACAGCAATACTCAATATTCTCGCACACACACAACATTTTGATTGATAAATTTTCAATGTAATGTGTATAAAAAGGCGTCCGAATTTCTTAGTAGAATGCTATAAAAATATACCAATAATTAGGCGTTAAGGAAAATGTTAGGCTCATTTATATTATTTACGTTTAAACGTATTTTATTTTTAACGTTAATTTTACTACAGAATAAAATTGTACATCTATAAATAGTATAAAAAGTATACTTATTTTCGTTTTCCGGGTCCTATTAAAAGCTGCATTGATTTTGCTACGATTTCTACTATACTTTCGCGAATTTCACACGGAAGGTTTGTATGTATAATACATATCTATACCTATATAGTTTTGCGGTTTCTGTCACAAACACTAAACCCGTGCAAAGCCGAGATGGACGCTAGTTTTGAATAAATGTGTGCGCAGTAGACTATAAATGCAGCTCTTTAACGAAGCTTATGAATGCAAATGACTTGTATTTTTATTATTAGAGGTTTATGTAAAGTGACTAAATTGCGTATCTACTTTGAATAAATTAACATTTCGGCCACCTAATCTTAATCTATATAACAGAGAACTAGAATAAAGTTATTGAAGAGTTAAATGAAACAATAGCACTGATACATATATTAGGTATTTAGTTATAGCTAATTATAGAATGTCGGTTAACTATTACACATGCTGCATGTATATACAATTATTAACGTTAGAGCAGTGACGTCAGCAATTGAGTTAAACCACAGCACTCATTATTTAATGATCATCAAGTGACTAGCCAACGTCAAATTACAACAATAGTCACACATACTTAGTTGTTAAAGGTGTTGTTTCCGTCTTTATTATTAACTCGGCATGTGTACAGTTTAAAATTGAAAGTTTTACGTCCGATTAGAAATGAGGCTGCTGTGAAAAGGAAAATACGCTCGGTCGAACTAACTTTGTGGGAGAAACTCTCTAGGTTTGTGGAAGTTGTATTCAGAAGTTGTAACAATTGTGTAGTATTTTATATTTAACTTACCTCTTTACGTACCCTCATTGATTTGTTACTCTCTGAGCTCATTTTTTTGTTTCTAGATGAAGTCAAAAGTCATTAACGAACTCTGGCTGAATTCTTGAAATTCCTACATGAATTTATACTAAAAATGTTTAATTAAATCATCTTATCTGGAAAAGGAATATTCCAAAGTTATTAGTGAATTTATTTTTGTAACATATCTGTAAGTAGAAAAATTATGGCACGCCTTAAATTATAGATCGAGCTCCTAACAAGTTTGCAGACTATATATTTATATGTTCATGGGTGGTAATCGCCTGTTGCCCAGATCCATTCTTGACAATGTTACAACTTGATGGAGTCGCATAGCGCCTTAACCACGGATGTACTTTAATATTCATGTAATTGTATGGTTCGCAAGAAATTATTGGCGATAAATTTCTGTAATATCTATGAGTATGTGTATCATAAGTACTCTGAATTATATTTTACATTTAAATTATCAATACCATATAATTATTGAATAAATGATTTACTTTCAAGTTAAAATGTTAATTAAAAAATTTAAAATGACTGTTTTCATAGGTTTCACTAGTTTAAATTATATTTTTATTCTTGAGTCCAAAATTATATTAATTTATAAATGGATTTTTGGTTCATTATTTACCGTAGTATTTTCAACGCAAATATTTTTTTGTTAACATAAAATAACCTATTTTAATATCGGAAAGACGAAAAAGAAAAAGATGCAAGCAATAATTCCAAGTATAGAAGCATCATCACAGTCTTATTAAAATCTGTCCAAAACCGTTGTATATTACACGTAACATAGAGAAAAAATACGGTATTTTAGAATCTGTTAAAATCCACCCAAAGAGTGGGCACGACCCGAGTAGCTGGCGCCTGCGCGAATCAGATGTCAGGGATGCGAGGCTTCCAGGTCGTTCCTTGGTGACTATAAACAGACGCGCTACACTTGAGCCAGTACGCCATGTGTGGCGGACGTGACAACTACACCGCTGCATCATGTCACCACGATCATTTCAATTAAACTACTAATACATCTTTCTTATTAGGTATTGATATTTCCTAACATTTAAGAACGTTTTAATATATTTTAATAACACTTAGGTTGAGGCATTTTCCAATAATAATCTAAAAGTTTCGTTTGTTTCTTTGACAGGCGAAAGGCGTTGGAAGTAATCTCAACTTTTGGCAGCATTTCTTGAATTCTGAGACATCAATGGTAAGTATTATAAATTCCATTTAAATAAGTTTATGTGTATGCTCTATGCGATAATATAATTATATATATACAGTATTTATGTGTTGTGCTGTGCAATAGCTGTGCGTCTCTTAATTTATGCGATTAGATATAGTTATAAAATATTAATTTTAGATAAGTATTGACTTCTGTGGATCAAGGAACATCTCTGTTGTTACAGAACCCCTGTGGATTATTATGGCAAGACAACCGTTGGCGTTGAAGCTAAATGATATTCTCAAGCTGTTAATCACAAATTAAGGTAATTATCGAAACATTTTAAATTCTCTTACATCTTTCTATATTAAATTAAGCGTAGATTTAAGGAATTATCTAGCAAATAAGCTAAATATCCGAGCGAGTAAATTGCAGGTGCGATTTGCACAACAGTTGAAGTAACAGTAGTGATAAGAAATTGACGACCGGTAACTTTGTTCTATCTGTTTCAGAGTTATTGGATCGTTGTTTCTAATCAAATGTCCATTGAAAATGCATTGAGTGCCAATCGAATGTTATGTAGATCTATAAGCCCGGTGTCGCTGGCGTATTAATTTAGAGTGGTATAAAACATTTGAACGGGTTTTATGATACATTTGACAGCTGGGAACAGTCCGGTCGCTGCGGCAGGAGGGGTGCTGTACTGACAGCTGATCACTCCACACACGCAGGTATGTAACAGAACGCGGCGTGAGAGAAAAACTAGTGTTACCCATTGTTATACTGCAAGCGAATACAGAAATCGTTTTCAATATAATGTGCATTTTTCTCTCACATTTCGCTGTTAAGTCATTATTTTATTTAATTGCGTTGTTTCCACATTACATTTTATTTTGAACATGTCTTTTTTTGCGCCTTGGCGATTTATTTTTTGTCATCACCTTGAAATTTCGACATTAAATACCAAACGTTTTGTTTTTTTTTGCAAAGTCAATAGTTCATTATATTTGGATTGGCAATCAACGTTATTGTGTAATAGTATTAGGGCTGCATGATTTCAGTTCGTATTATTATTTCTCTATTAGTAACTTATACAACTAATGGACAGAAAATGAAACACATATTTATTTAATTACTTAATTTTTACTTATTGACATGAAAATGACTACGTATGTGAAAATAGAAAAATAATAGTGAATAGAAGACTGGCCATACTTAGTCTATTTTTTTCTGCGGCGTTAGCCTGACAGTTAAAATTAAATACACTTCTACCATCAGCTTTATTTTCGTTCAACTAGAAAATGTGCTTATAAATAAAGATCTAAAATATAGTTGCAGTATATATTTTTTTATTTCTATTTTGTAAGTGACGGTCTAAATTTAGGTAACTTTAGCTTTTTAAATGGCAAATAAATAAATCTGAACTGAAATAAGTCAGACAGAAATATAGTTCAGTTTTACGACAAATGATGACAATATTCAATATAGAAAGAATATTAAATACCAAGTTTAAAAGAAATGTTTACAATTGAGGTTTATGATTTTTCTTTAAATTTACTTTTAATTCTACGAAATCACAATTTAAATATATATATATATTGACGAGTACAGTTCGCCTCTATACGGAGTACAAATTTATTTGTAATCGGGTTATAGTATATATCTACGAATAACCAGATCAGCTACTTCGATATTTTATTCTACTTAATTTCTATCAAAATTTATATAGATTTTTTTTTGTCGTACACAACACTAAAGTATATTTACATATATTTATTATATATATATATGATGAGGAAATCTTGATTTTTTTAAAATTATCCTACTTTCATTTTTCAATTTTTACGTCTTAAAGCAAATCAATTTTATTAGACTATATAACTGTCATAAATTGAGATGATAGTATTATGAATAATAAAGGTTTCTCGCTTGCTTCTAACACAATTTGAGAGATGTTACAAATTTATTACTTTATCTGCTTTCATATTTTTGGGTGTATTCACCACTATTATTTTGATTAAACATCGTTTAGTAAATACCATTATTAATTTTTTTTTGTTCCGAATCTTCATCTGCTTTAATCTGCTTTGATTAAATAATCAGTGCTTTCATTTCACAAATATTGATGTTCTTAAATTCTTATTGTATTAACCGATTTTTAATTGAGAATTCTATACAGGTTGGTCAATTCTCCACACTTTTAACTTGATTATTTTAATTTTGAATAGCAACAATTCATATCGACCAATAATATTCTCCCGTGTATAATTAGTAGATATAATAATTTTATTATATCTACTTACTTACTTATATATACTTACTTAGTGTATTGGTGTTAGCCTTATTGCCAACATATTAAATATGTTTTCTCGTATTTGTATATTATACGACAATAAATATTCTTCCCAAAATATTGCCAGTAATTGGTTCGTTTAATCAAGTTATAGTTTCAGAAGAAAATTATTTGTTCTTTTTTGAGTAAGCCCAATACCTTTTTTGCCGTTAAAAGAAAATTAAGGCTTATACTTTCTATAAAGTAGAAGTACTCTACTACTATAGTTACTACAATTACTTAAAAACAATACAAAGCAATACCATCTACTAAATTTCAGATACATTTCAAATATTCTATGAAAATACTCCCTACGTTACGTTTAGCTACGTATTTGTCCAACTACGCCAAGCAGGGATGCTACGGGAACTATCTAACGAGAACTCATACACAAAATATGAGATTTTACTAAGAAAATTAAAAAGTGATCAATAGCTACACTACAATTCAATGAAACAAAAATATCATATTCACGTTAAATAAATAAAATAAAAACCTGTACCTATTTTTAATTTTGTTAATTTCGTTATAAGTAGAGTCGGCTGCTTGTGATCTATTACGTCATATTTTTTGCACGGTAAACCTCTTCATCCGGCGGACTTCGAAAGCGACTTAACCTTTACAAATAATTGTCACTGAATAATTTAAAGGAATATGAGCTCAATTGTTCTAATTCATAGACGCGATTTTATTATAATTGTTGTGAAGCACAAACTAATTTTGTTTATACTATATAAAGGATCCGATAAATCTATCTATACATATAAATAAAACGGGAGTGCCTGTTTGTAATATCGAAATAACCGTTCTTTACTACATGCATATGAATATAAATACGGTGCATACACCAAAATAACATTTTTTACAATTTTTGTCTGTCTGTCTGTCGGTCCGTTTGTTCCGGCTAATCTCTGAAATGGCTGGACCGATTTTGACGGTACTTTTTTCGACAGGTAGCTGATGTAATAAGAAGTATTTTAGGCTACGTTTATTTTAGAAAATAAAGTTAAATAACCACGCGGACGAAGTCGCGGGAACAGCTAGTCTATAATATATTAAGTGCGCTCTACTAACTACAAAATTTTATTAATTGATTCGAATATTTATGTTCGAATAATTCAATCGATAGATTTTACAATTATGTATATTGTTTCCATATTAATTTCAGAAGTAACAGATATACAATATAAGTACCGCACAAATACAGCTTTAAAAAAAACGATACATCTTTTGAAAAGGACCTGAAAATTCGTTTCATATTAATAGATCCCCGATTTCAGATATTCAAAGTAATGCAAATAATTATATTATATAGGAACTGCCTTTATTGTCTTTGGTAAAAATAAAACCATAAAGCCTTATAGCTATACACAAACATTGCGTAATGGATTTTCTGGGAAACATTTTGTGATAACTAAGAAGTGGATCTTCCGCGTATTGCACTTAATACCCTGGGAAGATATATATCGTAAAGTAAGCACGTACACATGCACAAGTTGCAGTGTAGTAGATATGATAGCTCACTGTGATATACCTAGCCTTTTGTAGAAAGTAAAATGACTCGATACGTATATCATTACAAAACAATTGAGCTGTGCCGATTCTGTTTAATGGGAAAAAGTATTTATGCTTTTGTTATAAAGGTTAATAAATGTTATTAATTTTTTTACTATATATTTATTATTTGACGACATACTCTACGTCAAACTCATTTCATGATTTCTTTTACCCATCTATGCTTGTCACAAATGTGGCAAAACATGTATTTCCATAATATTAAATTAAATATTTATAGCATTTCGCAAAGTTAAATTCGTGTTTTGTATGAGGGTTTGATATGTGACAAGGGGTGGATCCCACTTTGTCACATAATGTCACACTTTTCTTACCTCGCACGTCGTACCTCTACCTCCCTCTTAAATTGTGACGTAATTTAGGGATTCCCCTTTAGTTTTGGTCACAATGGCTTTTAATATTTATATTATATTTATCTCATAATATATATTTTTAAATAAATTAAATATTAGTAATGCTATAATTAACTATAATAAAAAATTGTCAGTATTGCACATATATCTGACCGCGCCTTCGTCCGGGTGACCATGATTCATTGGAACGTAAAGTAACTTATGTACTTCTTTATACTAAGTACTATGTACGTATTTGCTAAAATTCTTGGTGCTTATTTAAACTGTTATGGCGTAAAAGCGTAACAAATGAACAGAATCACTTTTGCATTATTAATATTTGTCAGTTGAATTGCTCATATAGTTAAATAGTGCCATCTAATAAATTTTTGCATTATGTTTTTTATATTAACAAAGACATATAAAGATTATAATGTTTATACGTCTTTCTTTGTTATGTCTTCTAATAAGAAAAAAAGACCCGACTGCTAATTTGGTTTGAATATTTACTTTTATAACAATATATAATAATAGTAGTAAAGCACTAATCAGCATTGGCTACAGTAGGTGCTTAAATAGGTATCAACCACTGATATAGAAATTTCACTGACATCCCGTGATCACATCATTCTGCACACTGCACAATATATTACTAACTATTATGCTTTGTACGACGTATAGTTGCAAAAAACTCTTAGATAGTCCTTTAGTCGATATTACTCATCAATATAAACAAACACAAAATATATTTATTTAACGCTAAATTGATATTGTAGTATCTCAACGCTTCTATAAAATAAATGTGTACGTAATGAATGAATTTAATAGACCAATAAAGTAAGTAATTATAACAAAAGTAGGAAACAACAATACGTAATCTGCTCTTATAAAAACCGTAGAATTCGAATAAATACCTGATCAATTGTATCAGTATTATTTCTGTAAAAATATTCAAGAGCACGAAAAGATTTTCTCAATATACCTACCAGTTATAAAATACGTAATATGTTATGAAAAGGTATCTTCTCATGATGCCACTTCTGAATAATAAAATAAGTAACGGTACTAGATTTGATCCGTTTCATTGAACGTACGTTTACCTTTTTTATTGTAGTACACTTGTTTATTTTGTAATGGTATTATTTCAATAGAAATATTGAAGAACACGCTTGTGTTCTTTGTTGTTTCCTCAACAGGGCACTTACTTGTATTGAAAACGGAATATAACATGAAATATGTTATCTAATTACGATACTTATGAAGAATGAAATATATTGTATTTTAATATAGCTGTTGTTTGTTCCATTCAATGTTTTATTTATTTTTTATTTTTATTTATTTATTTATTTAATTCAGGCTACATGGCCCATATTATAAATACCTTATAGACTAACATACATAAGAAATAATAATCAAATATGTAAAATAAAATTGTCTCTATGGTCACGGCACTGACGACGGCAATCTGCCACGGTAGCGCCGATAGACCACC